AAGTCTCCCACGAGAACAAGGGCCAGCGCTTGTGAGACTTCTACTAGCTGTCTGTAGAATGCTTCATCCATCTCTTCATCCTGGTTGGGTGGTCTGTAACAGACTCCCATCAGGATATCTGCCTTATTGGCCTTCCCCCTGATCTTTATCCAAAGGCACTCAACCTCGTCATCACTATCGTTGAGTTCAAGGCAGTCAAAACACTCTTTAACATATAAGGCCACTCCGCCGCCTCTCTTTCCTTGCCTATCCCTTCTGAAGAGCTTATAGCCATTCATCGCAGCCCCCCAGTCATGAGCCTAACCCCAGTCATGAGACTCATCCCACCAGGTTTCCGTGATGGCGACTATGTCATAGCCTTCCTGCTGCACCACGGCTTCCAGCTCTTCCTGTTTGTTGCCCATACTGTGTGCATTGGTGTAGATGCACTTCAGCTGGGCTACTGATCTCCCCTCTAAGACTGACCTGCTGCCCCTAGGCTCATCTCCAGCATTCGGGGTTTTATCCCCATCCCCCTTCGGACCTAGTTTAAAGCCCTCTCAATCAGCCCTGCCAACTCATGGGCTAGAATCCTCTTCCCTCTTTGAGACAGGTGAACTCCATCTGTCATCAACAGGCCTGGTGCTGTGTAAACTGCCCCATGATCAAAGAAGCCAAAATTCCACCGATGGCACCAGCCTCTGAGCCACGTGTTAATCAGATGGGTAAATACTGTGTAGGAGACTTGAAACTTTGTGAAGTAACTTACTGACTTGAGAGCTACATGTGGCTGTGCTTCACCCAAGGCCTTGGATTTCATGTTTTTGATCTTTTCCAAACTTGGGTAGTAAAGCATTGTTTATTCAACTGTAGAGGGAAAGAATTAATGTATTAATATAGCTGCTTTTAATAACATAAACTACTACTGGTATATTTTTCTCCCATGAAACACTTACATGGAAGCTGATTAAGACATTTTCTTAGTTTTTACCACATGAATTTAATGGTTGCATAGTTTTCCAAGAATATAGAATGACCTCATACTATAGCAGTGAAACTGGGTTGTTAGCAATTGATTGGAAGATAATTTAGTTGAAAGAGTAATAGTGCATATTACTCTGAAGAGGTGTAGAAATAAGTTTTCTCTAGTCATCCAATAAGGAAAAGGTGGCAGAGCTAAGGTTAGAATTTTTTTCACCATGAGATAGAGTCGGTGCAAATATTTATTCATTGGTTCATTTTCCAGGTTAGCAGTACCTGCTATCTTGCTGTTACTGCATTCTATTAGAAAGAGAAATCTTAGCATCAGCTTATTAAACCAACAGTGTCTTCCAGCAAAGTTTGGGAATATGAAATAGCTAAGACAACCAGTTTCAATTTGAACAGAAACCTTTTTCTCATTAACTCACTTCTTAAAATTCTTTTATTATAATTTCTAGCTGAATGAAATATTTTTTTCCAAGCAAAAAAGACCATGAATGAATGTTTTGGGGCTTGAAGCCAACTGAGGCAGTACTTATTTTATGCATTTGAGGAGGGAGAAGAAACTGCAGAAGAGCCGAGAAACCAGATTACAAAGCCAAGAAATGTAATCACAGCAAGCAAAAAAAAAAAAGAAAAGTGTAACTCTAAATCTCACATGCAGACTTGATCTTAAAAACTACTGAGAGTTTGGAGGCCCTTTTAGTAAATCTATGACTTGCCTGAGGCTTGTGGGAGGAATGGGTCTTAGACAACTGCAGGCACCAATAGGAGAAAAATGAAAACCATGTTAAAGATAAATGGAACTGTTCTGTAAATGTTAGAAAGTAGATGGTTAATTAAGACCAGCTCTCCAAGTCCAAAACCACAAAACTTAAAATGGGAAACTATTTCCAGAATTGCCTATTATGTATTGTTAAAAAAAATCTACAGTAAAATATATGCTTTATTTTATACATGCCTCTAGCTAAAAATTATTCTTTTACACTCACTGACAGAAGAGTAAGACTGTTAATTCAAATCTAGATGCCCTAGAATTAAATTTAAAGAGCTGCAAAGTTTGCAGTTTTTGATAGGTCAACCATACTCAACTTGTTCATGAGAATAAAACCAGATATGTCACTGGCAAGTTTGATCATTCCCTTTTCACTCCGTACTAATTCAGAAAGCCTGCGGAGTGCATTGATATGACTATCTTCACAAGTTTTCATTAAAATCTGGCTGAATTACCCAATCTGCCGTGAGGTACTGGAGAACAGGAGATATTTATTCAGCAAGAGCATGATGTCCAAAATTGTGTTCAGATAGATAAGCAATAGAAGAAACATAAAAATGCTCATTTTGTCAATATTATTCTGCATTTTGAATATCCCCGAAGAGGGAGTGTGAATTTGATTAGTGATAGTGGAATTTTCCTATTGTAATGAAAATTATAGCTGCGAAAGATTTATAGGTGCTTCTTACCACAAAAAGCAAAAGAAGTCGCTTCTTTCATTAGTAAATTTAAAAGCATTCAAATAAAATACTTCCATATATGGATGGTATAACTGCTAACAGTAACTTTCTTATTTCTTCCCTAAAGTCCTGAACTGATAAATAGGCAAATTCAAAACACTAGGCTGAGGATTTCTCAAAAACCATGTCTTGTCATTCTTCAGTTTCAGCCCAGAGACCCTGCTTTCAGACCAACTGTGTCAGGGTAGCGTGTACTCATTGTTAGGGACACTGCAGGTCATCTTGGCTTGTAGGCCTGGGGGACAGTTGTTGGGTTTTTTTTACTCTTCTTTGCATCATCATGGCATGTTCACCTAAGAGAGAGGCTGTGTCAGCTGGTGTCCTCTGGGAGGATGGCTCTTCTTTCCTAGGGAGCAAATAGGTGTGCTAAGGGAATACGTTAGAGGTGATGGGTAAGGGACTTTGCAGCACAGATTTAGGAGCTCCTGAGCTTTGAGTCACTTTGTGATCATTTGTGTAAATGTATCATACATTAAAATACCTCATTCATTTTTTTTGGAATCTTAAGTCATGCTTTAAAAAGTGACTGCAACTCATGTAAAGACTAGAATAAAGTTACTGAAAAACAGAGTTTGTGGTAATTTAAAAAATAAGAGATTTAACTTGCAGAGCAGCAGGTAAATCATTGCATATAGACCCTTTTTCATTTATTTTCTGTTTTCCCTAGCTGTTCTGAGTTTTTGGTTTATATAGTAATGAAACCTGTTTTTGATGGGGATTTAAAAAGTCTTTTGGATGACTTTGAGAGGGAGCGGTCCAGGTCAATTCTTAAAGCTGTGACTGACCTCGGGCTTCTATTACGGAGATAAAATTTATTACCTTGCAAGGGCTGCCTGGACAATCACAGAACACTGCAGGTGTGTGTTCCCATTGAAACAGGTTACTGATCAAATGGGCTGTCATCCTTTTACTAGTTCTAATTTCTGATACAGTTAGAATGCAGCTTCTGGTGCTAGTTTAGGATCCAGCCTAGTGTATAGTATCAAGCAGAAGCAGAATGAACAGTGTAGGATAAGTGGTGTTTTCTCTTTTTTTGCTTTGTTATTATATGTATAATTGCTGATGTATTTAAACACTGAGCCCTAGTCTAACTTCAGCTAAATCCAGCTGGGAACCTAGTCCTTATCTTCCTATGCAGTAACTGCAGAATAGTGGTTGCTGTTTATCCCACATAAGATCTAAATTACTACACAAAGAGCTATTTTACTATGAAGGATGGATGCTGAGAGTTCCTATCTTATGTACCTCAGCAACTTGCCTAAAGTTGTGTGGCAGGAATCTTGGCCTATACAGTCAATAATAAAATCTGTAAGGGGGTTGTTTGGTGTGTAGTAGAACTACTGAAAATGAAGAAATGAAGGAAGTTAAGTACTGCTTAGGCCAAATGAGTGTACCAGAGACCTCAGAGTTGAAAGACTTACAGAAAATGCAAATAAAGGAATTGACACTTATTTCCTTCATTTCAGCTCCGAAATGCAATGGTGAATCGGAAAACAGGGAAATTCTCCATGGAAGTGAAGAAGACAGTGGACAAAGGGGTACAATGTATAAAGTATTATTCCCATTAAGTATAAAGCAAGCAGTTAATTTTTTAAACAGTTTTGAAGGTTGCCAGAAATACGATTCACTGCAGTATATTTTGTTTTGTACTCACTGAATGTAAACATTGCTTGTAATTTTATCAATGACTAACCACTTGATCTTTTATGCATTTCTTATAGCAAACTAACTTCTTCCCCCCTCCCCTTCTGACTTTCTTGTTCTGAATCTAGAAGCGGGTATTGGTGATGACAAATGACTACTATTATACAGACATCAAGGGTACTCCGTTCAGGTAGAGCTGACCATAATAAATGGACATTTCATCAGACTCATTGGATTTGCATTTATATAGAGCTTGTGAACTCATTAAAAGCTCATCAGCAAAAGCTGACAATGAAATATCCCTGGACAATGCTGAAAATAGCAAGGAAAAGGAGCCTACTAGCATTCCTTTCAACCTTTCCAGGGATGGAAAGTTTGTGCAAACTCACACAGGCAAACTCACAGTGTTTGTCATGGCTTACATTTCATAAAAAAAATATTCAGTTGAGGTTTACATTGAACGAAAGGCTTTTGCAAGTACTTGGAGAGCTATAAATACTATAATCCATTTAAGTAACTGCATATTGAGCCCCATTTTGATTTTTTTCCACAACAAAAATGTAATGAAAAATGAGATAGTATTCCACTTCCAATTTGGGGTTTGGATATGTTGTTTCTCTGAACTGCCTTCAGTGTATTTGTGTAACTAAAATTGAGCAAGTCAGCCATGTTATTTTGGCATGCATCTTACGAAAGTGGGGGGGAAAAAAGAAAAGACAGACAGGAAGTCACTTTAAAAATCCTCATTTTTGAATTAGAAATAATCCATTAATAAACAAATACTAACGGTACCTTATGCTTAAAGCAGGAGGCTGATAGTTGCAGTGCTCAACTGAAATTTTCTTCAATGGAACTATTTCACAGAACTTAACCTACATTTCCACATAGAGAAAATATAGTCAAATTTCTCTGATTGCTAATGCATGTGTTTATTCTTGTTAAAATTCACACATGGGTGATAAAACTCAGTGGGTTTTTTGTTTTGGTTTGTTTTTTTCTTCTGGGTTTTGTTGTTGTTTGTTTGTAGGTTTTTTGGTTTTGTTTTTTCCTGTGGCACTGTCATTCTGACCCAATTTAGTAAACATAGGGGCTACATATATGCATGCAGTGCAAGTTCTGATTCTTAGGCCAGAAATACAGTAAGAAAACTGTCCTGCCTTTTTCAGCGTCATCTGTATCTAGGTTTGATGGGTAGGAGTATAGATTCAGGAGGACAGCAGGGACAACATTTATTAAAATATGCACTGTAGTATCAAAGACTTTTACTGTTCAGTCCATTTCCAGATTGAGCTGTTGATTGCACATATGTGCTCTTGGAGTTGGTGCCTCTACATGTACTTAAAGTATCAGCCCATGCATTTTCAGTCTTATGGATTACTGGAAAGTTCCTAGCCTGATATAATCCCCTTGAATGAATGAATGCCAGAAGGTATTCTGTGTATGTGTTCAATAGGAAGAGGCATGGGATCTCCCAGCCAGTTCATTAAACTCAAATAGTTTAAATGTTAGACTAAAAACCAAACAAAACTGAGTACGTAACTTGAGAGTTTATGAAGCTGAAGTCAATGCAAAAAAGTTAAACTAGCTAAACATATGAATCACAGAAAAATTAGTCCAAGAGGAGTCAGGATGCTGTTGTCACATATGAAATTACTTTCCTCTCAGTAGCTCCACTGATTCCCACACTTACGTAGTTTCTCAACAGCTTAGTCTGATTTACAAAAAATTGTCTCCTTCATTGTAAGGCCATGGGCATGTTCAAGGCTCAGCTGAAGAAATCTCATGCTGGGTGAACAGCAGTGAGCTTAGAGGGGCTGATTTATTAGTTTGCCAGAGAATAATACTTTACTGTACCTCTAAGCACACATAAATACCATCAATTGTTGCAGGCACATCAGAACTGAAACAGCATTGAAGCAGCTAGTTGAACAATAAATATGATCAGTGAGGATTTGGAAACAAACAGTTTTAAAGTTAATCATAGTACATGAGATGGAAATGTTAGAAATGAAAATAGCTCTAAGTGTTTGTTATTGTTTGTCTCACAGATTTCAAGGTCTGCTTTATTTCTCTGCACAGTTTAGGTGTGGCTCTCTCTAGAGGACATGGAAAATATTTCTTCAGAGGGAATGTAACTGTAGAAGAAGGTAAGATACCTACCTTCTCATGTTGCTTACACAGTAGTTTTATTGTTGATTTGGTAGACCTAAAGCTTGTATGTTTGTCTGCAGATTCCATAA